ATTTGATGTATCTTTGATTTTCTGAGACACAAATTGGTTCAGAACTCTTAATTTTTCAGTTAAACCACTTCAGCCATGGCAGTTTAAAACCCAACAATTAAATGCTAATTGAGGATGAGAGCAAGTTTTGCTCTCTGTGCTCAGACAGTAGGTTCTTATTGTAAAAAAGAAAACATTTCTAAGATGTTCTTTTACTAAGAGAGGGAAGCAAGTTAAGCAATATAAAAATATTTTTTTGGCGAAAAACACAATGTAAAAAAAACTGGTAATATTCCGGCAGCTGCGGCACCAAAGAAATACTGTAAAATAACAGAAAAATGGAAAATAACTGACTCGTAAAAATACAGTAATTTTCTATAATATAATAATACAAATAATCAGGCTTAAATTTACAGAAGAGTGCTGTTATTATCGGATTTTTCTTATTTGAATCTTAATTGTAAAAGTTATAGAACTGTAATAAAAGTCATTATTTGTGAAAGTACAGTAATTTTTGGTGTTTTCAGTGATAAAAACTGTATTTCACAGTTAACCAATGCTTATACACATTGTTGTAAAAAATATAAATAATTATTAACATAGCTGTCAATTAACAAACAAATCAATGTAAAAAAATACAGAACAAGTACTTGTTTTTTAAACTTGAATTTAACAGTGTAATCAGTTTTTTGTGAAAAAAATAAAATGTCATTGTAATTTTTTGTGTAATTTTATTAATATTTCCATTTATCTTTAAAAAAATAAATAATCTGTGAAATAAACAGGAAAACACGTTCTTTTTACAGTGTTGATGGATGTGTCTTATTCCTAGATCATCAAATACAGGCACTTTGGGTTATGGTGAATGGGAAACAACATAACAGGTGGTGTTCATCATGTTCAGATTCAACGATCAGCTATCTTAAAGTCACCAACCCAACAATCAGCTATCTTTCTTTCAACCAATCAATTTTTTATCGTCAGAGGAAACAAGCCATAAACAATGACATACCTCAGTGCTCTTCAGCTAAATGTACCACATTGTTTACCAGTTACCTGAAAACTCTCTATTCTCTTTAGTAGCACAGAGTGAGTTTTTTTTTAGCCTTTTCACTGAAAACAGCTTCCTGCCGCAATATGACGCTGATGAGTTGCTATATATCTGCTCTATAGAGCTGTTTTGTCACTCCTTTCAATAGTATGATCCATTTGTAATATAAAAATAGAATTTATAGCTGCTTTAAGTTTTAACTTAGAGATACAAAGTGCAAAGAGGACATGATTTTTGTCATTACCAGGGTCTTGTAGATGTTCCTATAATACAACATACATGCTATAGATTACAGCCTCAGTGTAGGTTTCAGTGTTTGTTTCAAAATATGGGCTGTTTCATTGATCTACTGTTCATGCCGCAGTTAGGATACTTAAACGAGCAGTCATTGATGCTGAGGAAGAACTGCGTTTGTAGTCCATCTCTGCAATGTATTTATTGGAAGACAAGGGGCTGCCAAATGCTGTGGCAAACCCATAGTACAGTATGTCATAACAATCTGGTCCTGCACTCCTCAGAGTCTGGCCTTTCCCTCCTTCTCATCTCCTTCTCTCTCATCTTTCCTTCTTACACATATAGCTTATTCTAATATATATAAGTAGTACTATCAATAGGCATTATAGTCAGTAATTGTCAGGAAACGTGTTTCATGCCTTTACATTATCATGTCACATCTGTGTTGTTCACTCATCACATAACCTTGCTTTCAGAGATCCCAGCAGTATATGAGGCAACAGTGCCACCTCTGGGCAGAAAATAGATCTACACTCTACTACGTAAAGGGCAGTCAAGCTCGAGGACACTGTGCAGGTGAAAAGGTATTTTTCCATCATTCATGCCACGCTTTTCAACACTCTGCACCTGAACGAATCACTCGTGAGACTTGCAGAACCTGTGTTTTCCATACAGAGTGACTAATACAGCAAGCCAGATGCCAAGCAAATAGACATGGTAGAGTTAAAAAAGAAAGAAAGGAAGAGGATTGTGAATAATTAATTTTTCTGTTGCACTTCTCATTACTGTAATTATGCAGCCATTGTTCTTTGACAAGGAGGAAACGTAAAATTACAATTTAGACAGTGAAATTGTCATTTGTAGCACTGATTGACACTAATAAAATGATTTTTTCTTCTTTCCCCTTGGATCATATGCTAATCAAAATGTGAAGTATTAAAGAAGACACTAACGGGCGTGATAAGCAGCTAATGAAAGAGGGGAGGCAAGTGGGACAGTAATAGACATACTCCCGCTAATAAGTTCCTGTTCATTAGAGCATGCAAACTGTACCCTCCTCCTGTCGTGTCTGTTTCTTCTGACTGACAGCTTTGACAGCCTGTCCTGTCAAAGGGAAACTTTTGACCGCATCCTCAAATAAAGCATTCATATTTCACAGTATCACTAAGCAAGTTATAAGCTTCTTTATAAATGGATCAGTAGTGTACTATTATTGGAGGGTGACATAAGCCTCTACTTGAGTCTCTATTTAAAAATAGATGACACTGTCTATAATGCCAGCATTTTGATGACATTTTCTTGTGTCTGGGAGGATGTCTTCACTGCCTCTCACGATGTTGGTAGGCTGACTCACACAGAGTGGAGTTGATATGACAGACTTTGATCTCTCCCACTCTGTCTCTCCCTTTTGCTATTCCCCCAGTGGACCTCTGCATATGTCGACCCACATCCACCCTGAAAAAGCAGAACGAAGATCCATGAAATGAGATGCCAAATACTGCTCTCCATGTGACAAAGAAAAAAAAAAAAAAAGTATGACAGAGAAAGAACCCCCCAAAAAAAAGTCAAGAGGCAGGCCAACCCATTGGCCATAATGAGATGTGTGTGACTTCAGTTCACCGCTGATGGGCGTATTAATCTTACTGCAATAAAATCTGGTCAGGCATTCACAGTGGGACGGCACCAAATGCAGCTTAGGTCCCAAATTACACCCTGGAGGCACTTTACCCTTTAAAAAGAGGATGGGAAACTTCTGCAAAAAAATCCAGAAAATAGCACCTGTGTTACAAATAGGCACCAGACGGGCTGCAGGGAGGGCCAGAGGCAACTTATCCGTAACTGGTGCAGATAGGATATAGGATAGGAGTGTTGCAGGGGGATCAGGAGTCGTGTGTTTTAGCATTAAGGACTGTAGCGATCTGGCGTGCAGAAGATGAGGGGAACTCTCAAAGATAATCATGCTAACATCGAATTCCCTCATTACCTCTGAGGCTGAGCTGTGGGCAGGAGTCCAAGTCACACACACACACACACACACACACACACAGTGAGAGTGAGCTCAGTTTGAACTTTGGTGAGGACAGAACTAAGACAGTATGTAAGAATCTATAGAATGAGGAATGTCAGCTCTTGAAATGACTGAATATTAATCCTTGGAAGTGATTTTATATCATTACATGTCTTGATAGATAAATGTTATAAAAGAACAAATGAATTAGGTTATTTGTTCAACATCACTCTTGTTTCCCTCCATACGTCTCTGAAGAAGCTCTGAGAGAAACCTGACATACTTTCTGACAGACTTCTCCCTGCTTCAGCCTATTATACAGTTCAACCCTACTCAAAGTCACTTCAATTATCAACATGATACTGTTAGTGCCTCTGGTCCCAGGAGGTATTGTAGTGTTACAAGGCTACGGATCAGATTTAGATCTCAGATCAAAGATGTTACATTGTGCCCAAACACTAATTGGCGTCAAGCAAAAATAGATTGTTTGAACTCCCTCTGATCGTTGCCTGTACAGGGCAACGGCGGATATGAAGGGTGACTAAGTTCAGTAAAAATGCTTTTTTGACACATTTACTGCTGCATGTATATTGTTTGTTTGATCTCCCCGGTTTTGATTTGGAAGGACGTGCTGTGCTGGAAAAAAAAACAAAACAAAAAAAACGGGACAAACATGTTTTGAGGAATTTGAAACAAAAAGTAACCACGCTTACATTACCTTCTTTATTACTACAGGCTTGCAGAGCACTATGGCTGATTTCAATAGAAGCATGATTGTATGTTCTGGATAACAGCAGTGGCACTGACTTTAATGTAACCTGTCATTTACAGTATTATTTGATGTCCTCTTCAAAGACAGCACATCTTGTTAATGTCACAGAGGGAAATACATGATATCTGCCAGGAAAAAAAGTTCAGCATATATTAACAGTAGCAAAGAACTTACACATAATAAAGCTGCCTTCCAATCTCCACTCCTGTCATTGTTGTGTGATGCTCACTGGAATTTTTTGGATGCACACTAAAGCTAATTGTCATCTGTCAGTCTCCACTCAGACACCTGTGGATCACTGCATGTCAGCGGAAGCTATTTGAAGAAGTGATCAAAGTTTGATGTGATTGTAATGAGGTAAAGTCATCCATAGTTCTGGGTGAGGCTAAAATAAGCTCATCCTAATTAGTGATCATCCCTCAAAGAGACGCAAAACGTGAATTTAGTTTGTAAATGTGTAACCCAAGTAAATGTGTTTTCTCACAGTCTTTTAAGGCACACAGTCACTAATGTTTTTTTCTGCCATGCGGTTCCAGCGACTTTCAGAAAAGAAAAAGGAAACAAAATTCTCTCAGGGCCTCTTACCTAAACTGTCAGCACCTCGTTCATCATGATGAAATAAGGAAAACAAATGTTGTGCAACATAACAACACAAGGGAAATTTTCTCCAAAGGTTAAACTATTTTAAGCAACTATAAGAACAATGACTTAAAGCAATTTAACTTTCTCTCTGTGGGCTTGTGAGTGTGTTTGAATCTATCCCCGTGTATATGTCTCCTCACGAGTGTGCTTTTTGGCTTGAGCGAGCATGTGTTTGAGAGAGGAAGAACAGAGAGGGAAGAGTGCCAATAGGGAATATGTTAGGTGTTGTTGGTGTGTGGGTGTGCATTATGCAAATACCTACCTGCTATGAGCCAGGACAGGTAGCCAATTGGAGTGTGATAAGGAAGTTAGGAGGATAAAATACCCATTGTGGTGGGGCAGCACCTAGTGTGTGTGCATGCTTTTTCAGTTAATTCAAAGACTGAGCAAGCAGAAGGACTCACCTCATCTCACTGTAAACACGAGTCCTCTAGAGTATTGGAATCTCCAGAAACTGTGTTGATCTCTATTCAGCCGTGTTGAAAGTGGATCTGCGTGAGACATCTATCAGGCCTGGTCAGACCCCATTCTACTGCTCTGGTAGGCTGCCATATGGTGCTGGGCAACCAGCAGTACTTTTCAAAATGACTGAATGCCGTACGATCAAACTGGTGGTCTAATAGGCTACATGTGTTTTGATGTCATTTAATTCTAAAATGATTGTGCTTTGCTTTTAACCTGTTCAGTTTAGGGTGCCTGTGCAGGTGTGGACATTTTGGAAAAATATTGAGATTTTTTTTTAAATTAAAAAAACAATATTTGCACAATTAAACAGAAACTATTTTTCTTAATTTTTTGATTGTGGGTTTAAACTTCTGGCTGTTACTATCTGTACAATCATACTGAACGGCATCTAAATATTCAACAAAGTTTTGACATAGAATGTAGAATTGTGATTAATGCTATGCATAATAATGTATTAACTTTAATATATTCCCCTGTACTTACAATAATTCAGCATATTTCACACTGTCAACCTGTCCTCCCTCTATTTCAGCTGTTGTCACAGAAAGGTTGCATATTTAATGCCAGTGAATCAACCTCAGTTTCAATTATGTGTTAGTTTCAACAACAAAATTTACAGTCAATAGATTAAGTAGAAAATAAAGCAAAACTGGAGAGAATTAAAATAGGAACGCTAACAACCTAGTTAGGTTCACTACTGCCATAAGAAGACAGTTGACACAATGCTCATGTGAACTTCTTAAGATAAGCATTGCTTATCTCCTTACTTCATCACAATGGCATAAGTAGTCGTGTGATTTTTTTCTTTATGACTCAGTGAACAGGATTTGATCTTTCTATTTTTTTTGCTACGTGATTGTTGCATTTACAGAAACTACTTGCTGCCTGGTTGATAAGATACCTGCCTGGCATTCGTTGACAGCAGTGAGGGTTAACACACAGTATGGCAGATTGTCAGCTAAAGAGCCAATCTACCTTGGCATGACAGCATGTGTCACCTATCTACTAGGAAAATCACATTCAGGGATCTTGACTAGGTTGTTATAAAGCTGATTTGCCAGATCTTTAGGGGATTTGGTTGCCTGTCTGTGTGTCAAAGATGTGTTAGGCTGGTAGTACAGCATTTACTGTTGTAATGTGTAACAGGGCTAGGTATAAATTTGTTTATGACCTACCATAAAGGTGTGCCCAAGATATTCCAGGGAACAGGTGAAGTGTGGGTCACTGAGTAAAGAATTAGATTCACTGTGTTACTTACTTCCCTCTATATTTTGACAGCTTGATCATGATATATAACCTTATAACATTTAAAAAAAACAGTAAACTGTCAGAAACACCCCTTTTTAAATGTATTTCGTTTAATCTTAGATAGAGAATTAATGTACAGTTTAAAGTGTTGTAAAATGTTATCACTTGAAAGGGGCATGGACTGGGTAAATTGGAATAATGTAGAAATGCAGAGCAGTAATCTATTTTGGCGGCAGTATTAATTAAAACAGTCTCCATTTTGAGTCTCAGTCAGAATCTATTTCCATGAAACTCACATACAGCGACATAAAACTGAATATTGGCAGTGAATAGTGTCAGACATGACTCAGCTATGTGTATTTCTCCAGCTCCTGCTGGGGAAAACAGTGGAGCTGCTGAAATTCTGACAAGCAATATTTACATGGGATGCAAATATACTTGTGGTTATGTCTGATGTATGCCTTTATTTACCTCTATGTGCAGCGCTGCAAACCCTTAAATACTAACTGAAAATGTGAAACATGAGCATGCAACCTATGCTAAGTAGTAATAAGCAGTTGAAATTATGCAAAATCAGTGTGGAAAATAGAATAATATTAGTAACTTAAACAGCAGCAGCATGTAGGTTAACTTTCTGTTTTGTTTCTGTTACTTAAGGCATTGTAAACATTTGCTGTCATAAACATATGATTGCTGAACAGATTAAATGGCTCTACTGTGAAACAGGAAAAATAAGCCTTCTTTAAAACATAAAACCCAACTGACCCATGTAAATGAACAGCTTGCACAACTTTTCTGACATAGAATTCCTTTGTGTTAATACTTTAGTATTAACTAGTAGCTATCAGTGGCTCATTAAGGATTGGATTTAATAAATTAACTTACTGATGCGGTTGATTTGGTAACACAACCGTGGTTACCGCGACAACATCAAGAAAGGTGTATTAATAGTTAGCAGTTAGATTGGTGATGAACATATTGCATTTCCTGTGGCATGTTTCATATTAAAAGCCACCACATGTTTTGCCATTTAATGTGAAGTAGCAGCAGCTGGAGTTTCAGTTTACATTAGCAGAAAACTAATAAAGCTCTGATGTAATCACAGCGATTAGTAAACAGTGAGGCAGATATCAGGGAGATCACTGTCAGGGTTGCGTGAATAAAAATATTATCTGAATATTTTGTTAATAGTAAGTAAAATCACAATGTAATGTCAAACATAGTTCTTTTGTGTGCTGTTGGATGCCCTAAAGCAGTACAGATTATTGTTTCCTTTTCAACTTATGCAGTAAATTACTCCTCTCCTGCTTTAGCCCCTGGGCCATGGTACATCAGAGTGTAGTAGCTACAGTATGAGCGTAACTCCCTCCACCACCCTGGACAGCCAGCTGACCACTACCTGGGGCCCTACTAACTCCTACGCTGATGGTAAGGCTCATGACCCACACTAACATACTCTTAATGAGGCCTATTGTACACCTTCCTGGCATTATGTGTGCACTCTTCACTGGTGTAAAACAGTTAATTAAGTTGTCTGAATAATGTCAAAAAATGCCTCAAGAAAATATGCTAATTGTTTTTTCTGCTGAAGGATTCTGATTGCTCTCAATTCAACAATCCAGTTCTCTCACTAGTTATAAAACTGCAGTGCAAAATGAAAATCATTCAACAATTAGCAACTGATGTATTGCTCACCTGGTGAGCCCAGAGCTTTGAAACACAAGGCATGAATTAAGGATTCCCGACAGAGAAGTAGCTCAACAGCTCTTTCAGTAAACTGCTCTGCAGATTAATTATTGACAAATACCTTCAGTAGAGGAATTCATGTTTCCCTTATCAGATGCATATTAATTCACAGGCAATGAATTCACTAATGCAGACAAATGGAGTTTTGAGAATGTTTTCTTACACAACCATTGATGACTATCCCCAGTTCCGATGGTGATGTCGGGTTACACAAGCCGCCTGTGGCCTCGGGACTCCCAGCCTCAGTTCTGGACTAAGTACCAGGTGTGGGAGTGGCTGCAACAGGTCATGGACATGCATCAGATCGATGCCTCCAACATTCCCTTCCAAAACTTTGATATGGACGGACATCAGCTCTGCAGCCTGAACTACCAGGACTTCATCCGTGCTGCCGGCAGCGTGGGACCCATTCTCTTCCACAGCATCACAGAGCTCAAGTGGGGCGGTGGGTATGAAATTCTGAGAGGGCAGCTGAAGGGGGAAAAAAGGAAGATGATAAAAAGATAAAATAAAAGAGAAGCTAGGTCATTTGAGTTGGGTCTGGAATAGACTCTTGCTGAAGTGTTGCTGAGAGGGAATCACAGAGCCGGTCAGGGGTCACACTGCATGGTGCTGTAGAGGGATGAAAGACTGCTTAAAGTGAGGGAGATGATGGATTTGTTGTTTGCTCTTGCTAGAGTGGGTCTCTTAACAAAGCACAGAGGGGATGTGAAGCTTAGAAACAAGCTGAGAATTGGCTCAAATACAGTTTTTTTTTTAATTAGAGTTTGAGGGTTACTGTGAAGAAACTGAAGTTCATAGGCCTCAGGCTCCACCTTTGGGCTTTTAACTATAACTATTGTGTGTAGAATGTGTCTTAAAGGAAGTTAAAGCAAAAAAATTATACAGATTCTTGTGTAACATAATGTGGTTAATGGCATTTCAAAACAACAGTCATAAGAGGAGACCAGGCACAACAGGTTTAACCTCCATTCATTACACCAAATTCAAGGGAAACCAAACTAGAGCACAGTGCTGCTATTGTTCTTGCTGGCTGTAAGAAACCAGCTCAGTTTAGTTTGGACAAGGTGTTTCATTATTATACATGACATAATATTGTGAAACTCTTGGCTGTACCTGGGTATAATTACCTTAAAAACTTAAAAACTGGGGGAATTGTAAGTGTCAGAGGTTACCAAATTTTTCTATTACATTTCCCATGTTGCTTCCTGATGAAAAAATTTTACTCTTGTTGTTTATTCAAACAACAAAAAAGAAAGTGCTGGCAATTTTCAAACCAATCTTTCACCCCGTGTACTGTCTGCTATTATGAAAATAGCAAATGTTTTAGCTCTGCTTGCACAGAAAACACAGCACCATCCTGTTTTGGGGCTGTGAAACAATCTCTGCGTTATGCCATAAAGCAATCCAAAAAGACTTCCTACAAATCTGCAGGAAATCTCAGACTGCTTCACAGTGTAAAATGCAATTTAGGGCCCTAAAGAAGCTCTCAGTACTTTGTGCAAGGATTTGGTTCATAGCTTTTTGATGTCTCACCATGAATGTGAATAATCAATATTCAGATATTACACAACACTGACAAATTTAATTCCAGGATTTCACGTTTCCTTTTTCCTTCTCATCCCTGCACAGGGCAGTGCCATGTGGAAATAGGGCAACTGGAACTCAAACCAGAATGTAAGTCTTGAATCTCTCAAATACATTATTAGTCAAGACATAAATACAATGTCAGCTCAGATATGCTTGCCTACAGTTTCTCAAATAAATGAAATTAACTATTATGTACTAATGGTACTAATACTAATAAATTCTGCTTCCACCTACCTTTTTTCCCTTCACAGTAGACTTTTCCTGTCCATTCCCAGATGTCAGCTATCCACCTGGAGGTATTGTAATTACATCAATCTGCTGCATTATTTCTACTAATGATACATTCAATTCACATAACAAATTAATTAAATGTTGACTCTTTTTTTTCTTTCCCCTTTTTTCCTTTGTTAACTTAGAAATCTATGATCCCTCAGTTCACCACCTAGTGCCTGCTGCCTCTCCAACCCTTTCTAGCCCTGGTGAGGAAATAACTATACATAACAATGTTCACACTTTTTGTCTTTTTATTGGAACCGCAAAATAAGTAACAGTGAAAATAACTAGATAAAAGGATTTAACAATAATTCGATTTCTTTCTCTCAGATATCAAAAGGTCTTTCAGTCGTCCTCATCAGGTCAAAAAACACAGTAAGTCAGTACATCTTTGCAAATCACAGTTGGACACTTGCATGACATGAAAATTAAATCAAATAAACTCACCATTCTCATTACTTTCCCCACAGACCCAAGGGGGACACACTTATGGGAGTTCATCAGGGACATTTTGCTGAACCCAGAGCGAAACCCAGGGCTGATCAAGTGGGAGGATCGGACAGAAGGGGTTTTCCGCTTCCTTAAGTCAGAGGCAGTGGCACAGTTATGGGGCAAGAAGAAGAATAACAGCAGCATGACCTATGAGAAACTAAGTCGGGCAATGAGGTACACCTGCTATCACACACGGATACATGAATACAAAACCAGTCAACAAGTTGTCAGTCATTGAAAAAAATAGCTGTAGGTACCTGTATTTTAAAAAGTATTTGAGTTGAGATCTGATAAGATTGTTGTAACACTATCTCTCATTGATTTTAAAGTTTAATGCCCATTGTATTCAGCAGAGACTGTGGCCACTAAATTCTATCATGTAGGGTGTAGATTATTCTTGGTGTAACTCGTCTGCACGTTCAATACAACACGACTCCCTACATGTACACACTGGTCTTCTTTTGTTTGGTAATAGCTTGTAAAATCTGTGATGAGGAAGAAATTTCACACTGCACTGTTCCTAATCCAATTTACTTAAGCACCTTACAAGTCACTTGCTACTAAAGAAAGCATACTGTAACATCTAAGAAATGCATTTTGAAACAACTCCCATCATTAAAAAAAAACAGGGAACACAAACCTTTAAAATTCACATTTCCCATTGCTGATGGACTAATGTTTTTCTACATGTTTTCACTTTTCTCCCAAATGAACTGAAATGGCCTCAGAAAATCTTCCTGGCTCCCACAATAGTCACAGCTTTACATTCAAATGAGCTAATCTAATGAGCTTAATTTCATTGTAGTGCAAACCACTGGGAACTACAAAATGTGCCCACAGGTATTGTCACTGTGACCACAAAGCTGATTTTCTTTTTACCGTGGTGCAGCAGAAGGATTTGCAGCTTGATGGCATCACCAAACAGATTGGTACTCTCTGTTATGAATAACAAAAGCAGGGAGTAACAACCAAACTAGCACCGTTTCATTTCATTTGAATTCATGTGGCTGAACTTAGAGGAAATTTTAAACATATTTTGAAAGATAAGCCTTGCCAAACAACTGAAAAGAAACTGAGGGACCTTGTAACTCTACAGACAAAGTTATCTATCGTCCATTTGATGAAGGCAAAACAAAACATCAAATTTAAGCCAAAAAGTGTGTGTTGTGGTAGAAAAGGAACACAATTTTACACATGATGTCAAGAGTGATGTTAAAGGATACGGCTGAAATGTATTTTTGTTATTGTCAACAAATCTTATGAAAAGACTAAAACCCATTAAGGCATTAGTCCTTCTCTCAGTGCTTCCTGACGTCAGCAGCCTTTTGTCCATTGGTACCTACTGAAGACATAAATCTTTAAAAATGGAAATCAAATATACACACCAAAGGCAAACATTTGAGCAAACATTACTCATGCTGGAGAAAATAGGGACTATTTTTAGTTGTGGAGTGTCCATGTTGTTTGGATACACATGCAGACAGTACTTGTTAGTAAGCCAGACTTTATCCTTTAAAGATTAAAAAAACACTTATAGAATTATAAATGGTTGTAATTTATCTGATTCAGAACAATCGACTGCATCATAAAGTGTCACACATGCATTTTTCTATGGTATTTACACTGTCAGACATGTTTTCATAACCTGACTGCGCCAGATGGTTTATCGCACAGAACCATGTGAGAAGTTGTGGTTGGAAACTCTTTAGAAAAGGGCAGGGGCTTTCAAAACAATATTTGGCAGGTGATTGGATGAACCATCTGTCTATCACTTTTTATAATGGACTAACTTCAACCAATCAGATCAATAAACCACATAATGTAGTCAAATTCTTACCTGTGGTTTGAACATGAGTGCATAGCTTGAAGCCTAGCAACATGGATTCTCGTGTGATCTCATGATTTTACGATCTCGCTGCAGCTGCCTAGCAAGGTTTTAGACGTTTTAGATCTGTAATGAATTCATTTTGTAATGAATTTACCAGTCACTTTATCTGTCCTCTTTTACAGATATTACTACAAAAGAGAAATCCTAGAACGAGTTGACGGACGCAGACTGGTTTACAAGTTTGGAAGGAATGCAAGAGGATGGAGGGAGTCAGAGAAGTGACAATTTCATTAATTTATGTTTTGTTTGATGCTGTATTCAAATGTGTTGTTTTATTGTAGTTTTCGTTGATTGTTTTTGATAAAGATATGTTTGAACTGTTTACACTTTGTTGATAATTGTATGTTTGCCTCATTTTTTCTTTAAATTTATCCCTTTGTTTTGCGCTGCACTGAGATGTTCTTCACTGTGCCTTATTAAAAACAGGCTTATTATGCCAGTATGATAGAAGTCATCACACATGTGTGTTTACACAAGATCCCACTGAAGAAAAGGATATCAAAAACTGCCAAAAGCTAGCATAAAACATTATGAATCCTGTTGTTCTAACATGTTATCAAATACTTTCTGCATGTCCCAAAGGAGCACATGTTGTTAGCAGTCAAAACACATGTGGCAACAGATATGTATGTTGAGTGTTTTGACACGTATACTGTGAAGTGTCCTTTGGGAGGGATCCCTGCAGAAAAAAACAACATTAAATAATGATAAAGTAGCATTCCATAATGCACAATGCAACAGGGAAGTGCAAGAATACATAAATAAGTGATACGTTTTGTGTGACATTTATTTTGCATTTATTGAGCTGTAAAGAAAGTGTGTAAATGTTTGCCGATGTTTAATACAAATAAAGTTTGTGATTGTTTTTATTTCATGAAAGTCTTTTCTTTAGAATTACATGTGTACAATTTAGGTGTAATTGTGTAAATCAAGAAGAATACAATCCCTGTGACTTTTAATTATTATGAGACAAAGAAAAATATTTTTCCAAGCAATCGTATCAACTGACATTTTGAGTTCAATCTATCACTTCAATTGCAGCTCTTCTTGCGCAGACTTGATCAATACTGTCTATCCACAGTGTGACTTAGATCTATAAGCCTTTTTCCCACTCACTCTGTTACAAGCTCGACTTTGAAAAGCCATGCACTTAGAGATAGCGTAGGTCATTTTTGTTTTATCATGACAGTGTGAAATGCCATCCAGTTAAGTGTTCGCCTGTGCGTGCCACAGCTGCCATGCTGGCAGGCAGCAGACCAACGGCTGAGACTAGATGGCTATTGTGATAAAAGCACTGTCAATAAAGGTCTTCTTTCTTTGGCATGTGTTCACAAGCAAATCCGTGTCTAATCTTCACCTAAGTTTATCTGGCTTTTATAACCCTTCTTTACATAGTGTGGCATTGATTGACACCATGTTCTGTTATTATCTTTACTGATGGCTTCCAAAATTTGCCCACTGCACCGCTGCATCCTATTCAGTTTTGTCGCTGTGCACTCACACGCATCAGTGTCATCAGCTAACAGTGCCATAATGCGAACTGAAGGAAATGACACCACATGTCATTATCGAGAACAATCTTCTAGTATCAAGTCTGATGGGATCTGCAAACAATTAACAGGGCATTTCTTCCTGGTAGCAGGAAAGCATTTTTGATTAGAGGAGTTTGCTATAATTTTGTTTTCCGTTGACGATTTGATGAAATACATAGAGACGATATAACCAGTGACTGCTCCTGATTGGACTGAGATAATAGCTACTGATTGCAATATTGTTATATTACATGAAAAAAGAAGCAAGCAATTCAAAATGAAGTGCATATCCATCATATTCCATTCTTTAGATTCTGCAATGTGACATTATTCACATGAAGCAATTATCCTTTTTAAACCAGCTCCAGCCTATTTAATGCATGTTAAAAAACCAAAGATTCACTTTTTTAAATGAATTCTTATTGTGTAAGTTCTAAATCTTCAAATAATGGCAGGGGATAGTGCTTGATAGCTGTGAAGCAAAGTACAACTGTTAAGTAGCCACAGACAAATGAGGTAAAGCAATATGAATAGGATTTGTGTATTATTTACCTCAGATGTTTCATTGCAATTGATTACCATGTCTTTAAGACTTTATGTATTGTACATGCACATTAATATAACACAAAGAGATGAACTGATGATATTTTCTATCTAACCTCAGAGGTACTGAGAAGCTCCAGCTTTACATTTGAATAACATTGATGCTGTACGCTTTGATATGAGGGTGAGTGTTTGATGTAACTAAGTAAAGATAAGTGAACAGTTAGGCAAATCTAACCTCTGCAGCACAAAGAGATGGGAGTTTGATTTTCCTAACAGACCACTGCCCTGTGAATGCAAACCCAGCCTTTACATACCCCCAGTGTGTGAGGATCTGATTCAAATGAGATATCAGCCTTTAATATGCATAATGATATATGTGAGGATGTATGTGTATGATTCACTTATGCCTTTAACTTTAACAATCCTTCAGAATCAACTGTGAGTGAGTAAAGGTAAAGTGCACCCTCCTCAGAATATTTGGGAAAGCACCGTTAAACCAGCGGAACAACTACAGTAATGGCTTAGGGCAAACATGCACCCAGACCGGTTGTAATAGATCTGGGAAGGAAGAAAAGCACACAAAATGCGGCTGGGATATTTAATACACATGTCTCACTTTAGTGGTGAGTGTTGTTTTTTCCATATCAACTGTTATAATAGCACCAGTGTAGACAACTGTCTGGGAAGATGACAACAGTGTGTGTAGGTAAAAATCTATTTGCCTCCTGCACTGTGTGTTACACTATACTGCACAGATGAAATGGTGGCTGCCTTTGTTTTGCCAAAAAACAATATGCAATATCTATCCACAAGTGCCCTTATCTCCTATTGCCAGAAAATTATTTTCAGATTTGAATGAGCCACGCAAGGGCTATTTTATTATTTAAAAATGGAGAACATTAATTCAATCAGATAGATGCTGGAGGAAGAACAGGGAAGTGATGAAAGATAGCCTGAGCATGGGCATAAAGACAGCCAGCTGGGATTTTGTGTCTGTGTCCTGTGACTGCTCAGTGGGGCTATTGTGTTCTTTCAGCAGATACACAGCCCCAGCTTATCAGGCCTCCTTATATTTTCTCTTCACACTCAAATGGACCTGTGAGGCATTCAGCCCAAACTGTGAGCTGGACAGATTAGAACTGCGTCACTAATGTAGCTTTATTTTTTGGGGGGACTGCGTTGCAGCTCACTGCCTTGTGAGAAATAACACAAAACTTTATAGTCTTATGAAAGAAGAAGTAACATATGATTGAGGGTATAATTAAGAGAATTTTCAAAGTTTAAATCTACTGGTAATATTTGTGAAACAGTTCAGAATCAAACTCTTCCTGCATTTGCAGGACGCAAAACCTGAAGTCACTTTACATTAATAATGAAATGTGACTTTAAGCATTTCTTTTCTGCATTTTTGATGAGACAAAAACACGAGGAAGTATTCATGATGATGCAAAGATACGTTTTTATGATGCCAATTTCCTGCTCAGATTTTCGGACTTCACATCAACCTGTTTTCCACATGTACTTGAGCATTAACTCACCCAAATATTTCCTTGTTTGCACACACATTGTCACAAAACCGTTCACATGCCCTTTTTTTTATACAAAATGAAGTTCAGACCCACATTTCCTTCTCACACATTAAGTGAAATTCAATAGAAACAATTTGAGTCAGGTAGTGATTTCACATCCTGAGCTGAATCTTGTTCTTTCCACAGGTGAAAAAATAACATATGATACAGTTTTTGAAATTTGAATTTTTTTTTTCTCATTTGTTTTCATAATGATTCAGATGGACTAGATATAAAGATTCAGTGTAATATTTACATAAGTTAATACATGTATCCAGTGCTGAAGTGCTTTCTATAGAAGTGGAATTTTAAAGTATTTCTTTGGGGGGCTTTTATTGCCTTTATATGATAGTGACAGNNAGAGGGGATGACACGCAGCAAAAATGCAAAACCTGATATGGTAAAGGTAAAGAGTTCAAGGCTGGATTTATTTGTTGTTGGAAGAAACTAAAGTATCATTCAAAAGGGTTTCTTTAAAATGTGGCATTTATTTATGAATGGACCGATAATAGGCTGCAAAAATATATTTTATATGGTCAATAGAGCTTCTTTTTTTTTTTTTACTGCAGTTTGATGTGTCTATGTGTCAGTGTAACTGATCACATTAATGATGGCTCCATTCCAAACTACGAAAGCATGCACAATAACAGGTTTCTGGGACTGACAAATCTAAATGAAATGCAGCCATCATTCTTGTTATTAATTATACCTATACTAAAGCAGTGCACCTGCAACTGTGACAAATGTTAGGCACACACACACACACACA